TATGCCATATCATATAACATCTTGCTCAGCAAGAAAAGCTGGGAAGAGGCAGAAGGGAGTAGGGGTTTTATTTTTCAGAGTAGCCATTGCTCAGAGACTGGCTGAGCATCAGTTTTGCTTAGGGGAGACAGCGAGTGGCCTTTGCACCACTCAGGTTTTTTCCTTCCTTCCCTTCCTTCCCTCCTTCCTTCCTTCCTTCCCTCCCTCCCTTATTAAACTGCTCTTATCTCAGCCCTCAAGTTTGCTCACTTTGGCTTCTCTTACTCTCTCCCCTGTCCTGTTGGGGCAGGGGGAATGAATGGCTGTGACGGTACTTAGCTGCTGGCTGGGGTCAAAACACCACAAGGCGATAGCTCTGAGGAGAGGGCACCATCCTTGCAGGCAAGTCCACCTGACTTGCAGTGCAGCAGTTGCGATGATGCAAAAGTACATGCAATAAGCTACGAACGAAGCAAGTAGGTATGAGCCATCACAGGCTTGGGCAAAAGAAAGAAAACTATCAGAAAAAATGGTTAGTCAAATATGGATGGAGTGCTTCAGAGTTAGCTGCATTAACAAAGTTAATGTCCTTTAATATTTCTGTCCCAAGACATAGACAAACGGTGCACCCCCTCCCAGCCTTTCTATTCTGCAGTGGAGATAGCACAGAACGCTTCACATCACCATCCCCAGCCATACCACTGGCATTGACACCACCTCTCCACCAAGACAGAAGAGCAGCCATTGTTCATTGTGGCTCCCTACAGAACAGGAACAGCTTGGCTGTGGTTCAGCTCTTCATGTGTCAAGACCCGATGCTGCCACATGCCCCAGTTTGCGGGTGTCAGTCAGGCATCTCCGTCAGCTGGAGTGATAGGACAGTCCTGCCTCCTTTGCTGATAATACCAGGTAACCCTTCTGTGTAAGCACAGAAGTACTATTGCTGTACTCCTACAGCCACTCATGTACTCTCCCAGGTCTAGACAGAGACCTCTCTCTCCAGATCCACTTCATCATCAGCCTTAAGCATACATGTACTTAATTTTCTTTTTTCTTGGCCTTCATTCCCTTGAAGTTCCTACTTGTAACACAACCGCACTGGAGATGGGGGATTGGGCACTTTTACCCCAGGACCCGGTTTCCCAGGTAGAAGATTAAGGTTTCTTTGCTCAAAACAGCTTTCTCTGCAGTGGGATGGACAGAACCCAGGTTGCAGAACTTAAAGCCATCCCATAGTTCCCTGTGGCTTCATGCTGGACCTTCCAGCTGCTTCAGCCATGGCATGGAAAAAGGCATTCAGAGGATCCCTCTCCTTGCTGAAAAGCATGTCAGAAACTAGGAAAAATGAACATACAGCTGTTGCTTGTTCCGAGCTGTAAATGGCAACAAACCAAGGTGGACAAAAAGTTGTTAACATGCTTGCTATTATGGAATAGGCAAGGGAGAGAAGGAAAGGGACTGGGACAGGAAACAAGAACCAGAGCTCATTTTTTTTCAAGAAACACGAATTGTTATTTCAGAAAAACCTCCCTGTTGATAGGGAATCACATTCAGGAACCTCCTGCCACACAAAAGGAGCCTTGCTTCTGTCCAGAGATATATTGCTGCTGTTCCTCAGACCTCCAGGGAGTCAGAGCTGCAAACAAGGCATTCCCTTCTCCTACCACTTGTGATCCAAGTGCAGGGAAATGTTCACAACAGAGCAACTACGGCTTTGTGGTGGCTACATTCCCACTGACTTCAGGGAGAGGATGTATGGATGTTAGGGCTAGCAATGTCGAGTACACACTTCCCTTGCTATTAACAAAGCATATTCTTCCTATGGACAAGTCTTCTCTGATCAGCCTCTAACAATCTTGATTCAAGGACTTCTTGGCCTCAAGTAGCATCAAACTCAATACTAATAAAAGCCTGGGGACCAGCTCAATCCATCACACTAACCAAAGCCCTGTTTTGCCCTCTGTAGCCTCTTCTCCAAGACTAATGAATTTACACAAGTGTGTTTGTGTCTTCTCCCTCTTCCCTCGCGTCTTTCTCTCAACTTTGAAACTCAATTCCAACCCCACCTGTTGGACAGAATGGAAGTTTTTTCAAATACATTACATTTCTAAAAGTTTCTTGAAAAAAGCAGATGACCAAGAGACATTCATAAATGCCCAGAGGATGGTGAGCTCACCGGCTACTAAACTTGTCAGAGTCTATATAGGTTAAGGGAAGTTGCGAAAACTAGATGCAGGAAGACTGTCAGACCATGATTTCCCCACACTGCAAAAAATCTAACCTAAAGATAGACATGAGGCTTCTCTACACTATACCTTCATGGAAATACTTAAAATAAATTAGGCCTTCAAGCTTCACTGTAGCTTGTCTGCAGATCAGCATTGTGGTTTACAAAGCTTCTGAACAGCCTACATACAGAAATAAAGCAGAAGTACATCATGTTTAAAAATAAAAAAATCTAACTGTGGACCTCACCCTGTGATAACTTTCAGCAGCAAGAGCGGTCCTCCTTGTGAAGTTCAAGGAATCCACAGCAGTGGATGCCTTGCAAACCTCTCCTTCTAGAAGGCTGATCTCACTCGCCAGCACCAAGCCGGCCAGTTCACTGCAGGTCCCTGCTGCACTGCCTACTGAGAGAGGAGGACTTGCATCTAACGTTGAGCTGCTCGTTCATGCAGACCACTGGACTAAATAGGCACCTCAAGCCTAATCATGTCAGTTTTACCTTGTCTGCCTGACCAAGTGACAGCCAAAAATCCAAATTCTCAAATTTCCTGAAAAAAAAAATTACAGTATGTTGCGTTCAGGCATGGGAATGAGAACATGGCTTGGCTTCATTTACTCCCGAGTCCTATGTTTCCAAGCTTTCACTGCTGTCTTCCACCACCCTCCACCAAAAGTGGCTCTTCTGGAGAGGCAGCAGCTGTTTCTCACCTGTGGTTCCCTGCAAACTTGATGCTGCCTTTCTCCTTCCGAGATGTGTAACCCCAGGGGGGAGCCGACAGCACCAACAAGCAAACCCTCTTCTGACTTCTCCAAGGCTCAGTTCAGACCAGACCAAACATGAAACCACCCCAGGCTTTCAGTCTTAAGCACCCGCAGACTCTGCTTTAACACCCACCATTCACGCCTTCCGAATCAGCCAGAAGGCCAGTCACCGGCTTCAAACACAAAGGGCAAGAGCTGCCTCAGCTGCTGTTTCTGGAAGACATTATTTAGAAAGAATACGGCGACTGAACCAGGAACCTCTGAAACAAAGGCCAGAAACAGTAAAAGGAAAGTAGCAGATCAATAGTCTGTCCCTCAGGCCCAGTGGGAGGCATGCCACATCCTCACAGATGGGTTGTATCCATACCAGCCACTTGCCCTCTCTCCGATTTGCTCCTTTGAAGAAGCAGGTCAGGCTCTGTGAAGTAACCTAAAAAGCTTTTAAATTTTTATCTGTAGTATCCAAACGTTCAGGCTTCCTGAGGGATTTTTTTTTTAGGAAAACGCACATTTTATGCTAGTCTCCAGAAGCATGCTTGTTCCAGTACAGTTTGTCTTTTGCACTGAAGTCATTGAATTAAATGAAAAATAGCCCTGGAAGTAAGAGCCGGTACCCACAGCTCCCATTTATTCTCAATGGCTGCCCTAAATGCTGGACTAGGGTTGCACACTCGCGCACCACCTCTTCCTAGATGCTTTGGCATCCAATGGCACAATTTGCATGAGGAGTAAGTATAAGGAGAAAGTGCACCTTCCCCCAGATTTAATCTACAGCTTAAGGGTTAAAACCACCTGATTAACAGCCCTCACCACAAAACTATTAAAGCAGCGGGCACTACTTTCACATACATCCAGCTGTGGTTTTGAGTAGAGGGAGAGGCTGTGCTTTGTGAGTGTATCAGTCATGGCAGGTTACAGGCACATTGGGAGCACACACCATGGCGTGCTTTTCGGGAAACTTAATATGGAATAAATGCCCAGACCAAGTACCTAGAAAACGGCTTCAAACAAAAAGCAGACCTCAAGCTGCTCGGCTGTGAGAAGATGGGAAGCAATGTGCAATACCTAAATTCTACCTCTGAGTCCAGACAGGAAAATGCTCCCTGGCTCCACATCTTTGTTGCACGGCAGATTTCCACTGGAAGAAAACCTGCACATGTGAGCATGGAAGAAACCACTTGGTCTTAAAAGGATCACTGCAGACCTGGTCCAGGCAGGGCACACAAATGAACACGGCAGCCCCATCATTGCTGGAGTCCTGGGGAACTTTACCAGACGGACTGGATGGGACCCAAGCCTTGCAAGCACCAGGAGGCTCTGGTGGCTGGCATGCTCAGACAAGGGGGCCTAAACACCACACTGCTCCCAGAGTCCTCGCTGGGTCCGGGTGTCAAGTCATTGCTACAGGTAACTCCTCCTTTGACCATCAACCTAAAGATACTCAAAAGCTAATGAAGCAAAAACATCAAGCTTTAATGAGATAAAGTCAAGTCACTTTGCTTGATGACATTTAGGACTTTCAATTTTGAGTGGCACTAAGCCAAAGTATCTTTTAAAAACTCCCTGTCAATCTCTCCTCTTAGATCTCCAGTCTTAGGTATTAAAAATAAAGGCAGGGCTATTAAAAATAAGGGGAATTGGATTTTTTTTGTTGGTTGTTGGGTTTTTTTTTTTGCTAAGATGACAGGCATAGCTATCAAAGTTGAAGGCATTTACTGGCCATTCAATAACTGCTTAAAAGAGAAACATTTCCTCCATTAGGGAGGCTGAAGTTAGGCTCTACGGTTTAAAGAAAATCTAATACTCTTGCATCATATGAACTACCTGAATTGGAATAAATCATGATGGTTTTGTCCAATCTATTTCGACAGACATCCTGCGGCCCTTCCTATGTATCTATTAAGAGATGAGCAAGGAAAGTCCAAAGTTACTAACTTTGAGCCAATTATTTACAGACTGTTAACTTCTAATTAATATACAAATGCACAGATGTATAATGCCAGAGAAGTGCCCACTAGAAAACTTGAAACTAGTAAACAGAAGTTTCAATATTTTATTAAAATAGCATATTCAACCACTGTAATCAATAATACATTAACTTTATTCCCAGAGTACGCACAACACAGTAGTGATTCAAAATATCCTTATCCATGGTAATCAATGAAAATATCTCAAATTCAAGTGTACAACTAAAACTAAACCTTTGAAAAAATCTCTCCTTTAAAGAATACATAAAGCTCTCATACAGAATTTTTTTAAACTCCTTTATACTTAGATGTCAGTGTCTTTCACCTGACAATATGACTAGCTTTTTTCTTATGCATAGTAGAACTTCTCATATTTTATATAGTACCCATTTTATAAATAAATTGGCATTTTCCATCCCATTTGTGTTTATCTTCAGCTTCACAAAGAAACCAGTAAATAAAACTGTCAAGGACAGTCACAACAAAATGATCTCACAGCAAGATATAAAACTTGAAGATACTAAAAGATGCTTCTACTCTATTTTACATAAAAAGACAGATTTAAAAAGTGCAAGGCAAGATTTGCAGGGGAAGGGGAATATTTGTTTGTTATTTTTAGGCACATCCACTTCTTTAAAGCAAGCTTCAGAATGAAATTCCAGTTTGTTCTTCATGATACCTGTTTCAAAGTCTCTCTCTCTCAAAAAAAAAAAAAACAAGAAGAAAAAAAAATTACATCCGTCAAATGTCAAGCAGGGAATTTCCTGTCCCAACTAACAGTCTTCAGTTATGTCTTGTTCTTCCTTTTTTCATCCTTGCAGGTTTTGGTTTGGGAATATACTGATTGTTTGCCTGATACTCAAGTTCTTTACGGAAGTAATGAATTGCTTTATTCAAACCTTCTTCCAATGGGACCTGTTCCCAAAAGTGAGGAGAGAATCATATCATTCTGAGTTCACATCAGCTCTTTTCACAACAGTATCTTTTTTAATACAGCTATCAAAAGACTGCTAGGAAGCCTAATTCTTAGCCAATATAAGTATTAACAGCACCACATACTGGTTGTATCTCTGCACTGCTAATGCATGTTAGCTTTTAAACATCAGATATATTTTCTGATGTAGTAAGTAAAAAAAATTCAACAAATTTAAGTCTCATCAGATGGTTATGATTGGTCTGTTTTGTGGCAAAACAGACTTACATAATTCTACTTTCAATTCATAATACATTGAAAGAGATAAGCACACAGAAATTTAAGCCCCTTCTGTTTTTCACGATTAAAGATCCTCTTGCAGAATCATAGAATGGTTAGGGTTGGAAGGGACCTCAAATATCATCTAGTTCCAACCCCCCTGCCACGGGCAGGGAAACCCTCCACTACATCAGGTTGCCCAGAATCTCACAGAATGGTATATACCACAGAAAGGTATAAAGGTGGTGAGGTTTTTCTTAGTTTTTATTTTTTCAGCGCTCCATTGATACACAGAAAAAGGGATAGAAATTATCATCCAGCATCTCATTTGATATTCTCAAATCCTACACAAATAATTGTAATTCTTCATATTCTATGCCTGTATTTAAACACTAAGATTTGTAGACAGGAACAAAAGAAATACTACCCACTCTTCTCGGGAGCCGTATGCTCTGACATGCTTGCTGATATCATCATCGATAAATACCGGAGGACAAAACAGCAGCACAAAACCTGCTTGCCTTGGTGTACCAACACTGTACCGCTGCTTCAGAGTAAGTTTTGGTACTGACCGTGCCAAACACAGAAGGTCAGAATTATAAAAGTTAACTGTTTTAAACCTTTTGTGATTGTAACACTTGCCATCGTCCTTGTGCTTTCAGGTATAGCCTATTAATATACAGTGCCTCCGTGAATCCTTTCAGAAGGGTTTGAAGTGACCTTTTTCTATTACATTTACTAGATAGGTTCACATGTTTTCTGGAAAGACTTTTGTCTGCAAATCTAAAAAAGCCTACAAACCACTGTGCCAGCTAGAATGGGGGGCTGGCTAAGTCAGTCACACCCTTTCTGGGGATTAAGTAGACTTTATCATCAGCTATGCCTGGTTATACACTTGCACAGTTAACTTCAACAAAAAGGTTGTGAAAGGAAAAAACAGCAACCATGGGCATTTTGCATTTCTTGCATATTAGCTGTGCAGAACAACCACAATCTTGCCAACACCTCAGCTGGTAACTAAGCTTTAGAGGTCGACAGACATTATTGCAGGTGGTGAAATGTTAGACTAACCCTGAGCATGTTTCAAGCTTATTGACACAGAACAAGCCCCAAACACCTCTATGTATGATACCTGTAGTCCAAAATAAGGGCTTCTTATTCTGGTTTACTTTAGTCCATCAAAATAAAAATGTGTCATCTCTCCCTGGCTAGCTTCTGTTTTGCCCGAGTTTCACATACTTCTCTTTAAAAAAACCCTAAAACCCAGAACGTTTTTTCCGGTGCTCATGTTCCTCCCTATTAATCCAAATAAACTTTTTTTTTGTTACAGCGATGCTACAGATAATCTTAAAAATAATCTTACTCTGAAGATTTTCTAAAAATATTTCAATTAAATAAAAGCAAATTTTCCTTCCATAGTGCATGTTACCAACAGCAAAAAAGGAATGAAGATTGCAGCAACAAAAGCAAACTCATTAGCTCCCACAACTATGTACCACATGTTTCAAAGGATTCATTGGGCTTACAGAAAGGTAGACACTTCATAACATGCACGTGAACAGTTAAAATGCCTACTCTAACAATTTTTTTTTCTACCTAAGTCTATTACAAATGCTAATAACTCATCTGCTCTTCTGCATGATACAGGCCATACAATCCTACCCAGCAGTTCATGAATCATGAGCTAGGGCAACACACAAGAGACAGTCTTTTAAACAAGTGTCCTGGGGACTGTGTTAAGCAGATGTCCTGATAACTGAAACGTATCTTTATCGTGTGGTCCTCCCCCATCCCGCTCTGCCTCCCTGTGTTTTTGCACACAACAACAGTAATACAGCTGTACATACCACAGGTTCCCAGCCAAGCAACAACTTGGCTTTTCTGATGTCAGGTTTTCGTTTCTGAGGGTCATCCTGTGCTTCTGAGAGAAACTGGATTTCACTCTCGCTGCCTATTAAACAAGAGACTGTGCATTATCATCTGCAAGTCACTATGCTTTGCATTTACACCTTTCCTAGCTACTGGAGCATCAGGTCTTTCTGCAGCTTTCTGCTTCATAATTCTAGCATTGAAACGATTTCCATAGTCACAGCTGCACTGCATGCAACAGCTGGGTGAACCAGCTGTCCCACAGCAACATGGATTCACAAAGCACTTCACAAAGATTTCAGCATGGATTCACAAAAAGGAAGTTATGTTTGACCAGACTAATAACCTTCTATGACGGAACGCTTGCCTCAGTAGCCAAGGGCAGAGCAGTGGATATCATCTACCTGGACTTCAGTGAGGCGTTTGACACTGTCTCCCATAACATCCTTATTGAGGGCTGGATGAGCAGACAGTCAGGTGGATTGAAAACTGGCTGCACGGCTGGGCCCAGAGGGTGGTGATCAGCAGCACGAAGCCTAGTTGGAGTCTGGTAACTAGTGGCGTGCCCCAGGGGTCAATACTGAGTTGCTGATGCACCAAAGGGCTCTGCTGCCATCCAGAGTGACCTCAGGAAAGGGGACTGGAGAAAGGGGCTGACAGGAACCTCATGAAGTTCAACAAAGAGAAGCACAAAGTCCTGCACCTGAGGAAGAACAACCAACCCCAGGCACCAGTATAGGCTGGGGGCCAACCAGCTGGAAAGCAGCAGGAAAGGACCTGAGGGTCCTGGTGGACAAGTTGAATATCAGCCAGCAATGTGCCCTTGCCACAAAGAAGGTGAATGGTATCCTGGGCTGCAGTAAGAGAAGTGCTGCCAGTAAGTCGAGGGAGATGATCTTTCCCCTCTACTCAGCACTGGTGAGATACATCTGGAGTGCTGGGTCCAGTTCTGGACTCCTCAGTACAAGAGAGACATGGACACACTGGATAGAGTCCAACAAAGGGCCACAGAGATGATGACAGGACTGGAGCATCTGCCCTGAGGAGAGGCTGAGAGAGCTGGGACTGTTCAGCTTGGAGAAGAGAGGGCTCAGGGGGATTTTATCCGTGTATATAAATACCTGATGGGGGGAGTAAAGAAGAAGGAGCCAGGCTCTTTTCAGTGGTGCCCAGTGACAGGACCAGAGGCAATGGTCTGAAACACAGGAAGTACCTCTGAACATTAGGAAATGTTATTTTACTGTGAGGGTGACTGCGTACTGGCACAGGTTGTCCAGAGAGGCTGTGGAGTCTCCATCCTTGGAGATACTCAAAAGCAGTCTGGACACGGTCCTGGGTCACTGCTGGCTGTAGGGAGCCTTGCTTGAGCAGAAGGGTTGGACCAGATGACCTCCAGATGTCCCTTCCAACCTCAACCATTCTGTAATTCTGTTAGCACTTCTGCATTGTAAAAGGACTTTACTTCCTCTTTGCCCATACTCTCCAGTCTGATTTAAATAGACAACATAGTACTTGTCTTTCCACATGACAATACACAGAAACAGGACAATTTCACTAACCAAATGTAGCAAACAGTTTACATGCCATGTTAACGTGGGTTTTTATGGATGTAAAACTAAAACATCTCTCTGGGTGGACTGAAACGGATCAAGTTGTTTGTGAACAAACAAACTGAGGTAACAATTATTCTATGTGCATGAAGGGTTTGGCGCTGTGATTTTCAATTTCCTTCCCTGATCTGTGGATTCTACAGTAGTTTTCCAGAGGGGATAGTTCTCTGTTAGAAATCTCACATGCATCAGCTTCTGTACTGTATGTTCGAACTCGTCTTTTTCAGGTCCCTCAGAAGCACTTCTGGAATCTACAGACTAAAAATCCTTGGCTAGTGGCATCAGGATGCTTCATCTCGTTAGGAAGCCACACTAGAAGACTAAGCACAGCGATTTGCTTCCATTCTTGAGAGCTCTGATTTGCTACAGGTATCAGAGCAAGAATGAGGAGAAAGCCACAGTGATTTCTTCCCAGTCACATACAAGGGAGGTGCTGGCAGCCCTTGCAAGAGTCACTGGTAGGTCAGTGAAAAGTAGAGAAAGACTGTCACCACAGTATTGAGGTTGTTAATGGCAGCTGAAGGAGAAAAGCCTGCCTAATTGTGAAGAATGACCTTGCTGAAGTATTCACATTTCAGCTAAGATGTTATGCAAGACGTTTTCATTCATGTGTTTTACGTTTCATTTATGTATGTCCTTGTGACAAAGCAAGCTAAAAAATGCACAAACATTACACAAAATAGAGGGTATAGACTGCACAGATACACAGAGAGAATGTATTCATTCTACTGTTTGTGCAATATTTTACATACAATTGAGAGGATTTGGATTATCTTATTAATATTTAATTATACGATCAGGATACAATTAAATGCCTTTGATAAAGTTATTCAGAAATCCAAAGATCAATTAAATTATCCATATATTACACCCACTAATCAAGTAATAATCAGCTAATGACAGTAAGTACTTCATAAGCTTTACTAAGAATTACTTATCATACTCACCAACAAGTTTTTTAATTAACTGGGCAAATTCTAGGATAGTGTGCTCTTCTGGGTTTCCCTAGAAATAGAAGGGATATTCATTACAACAACCATTGAACACCTTACAACATGGTAGCTTTCTGACATGAGACGATTCTAAAAGGGTCATGTTAAACTCTGAAAAAGCTAAACACTATGCCTTATTTCTACTTGGATGAGAAAAATTGTAACTTTGACAAGCTCCATGCTCATTAGAAAAGTTGCCCTCCGTTACATTTGCTTTGGTAATTCAATGTATGTAGGGGTGCGCCCAAAAAAATCAGTCTGTGAGGAACGGGCAAATACACCTCAGTCACAGAAAAGGCATATGCTGTTTGGCAGCTCACATAACCACATCATCACTTTGAAATCTGGATTCAAGGACATTGCTGAGTTGAGGACAGACGATATAATGTAGTAGGTAGCATGCTAAATTCTCAGTTCATCCAAAGTTAGGAAACCAAAGTAACTTAGCTGCAAACAATTGCATTTACTACAGCTTACATATCAATATGTATAAGGGCTACTTGCTTTCCTATACAATATTTCTTAACTATCTTTTTGTTTAACCAACTTGCACATCAACTCCTGGCCAACACTTCAGAACAAAATGCTGAAAGCTTATTGTTAGCATTAGCTCACCTTCATCATACTCAATTCCCTCCATCCCTAGCCTTCCTTGTTGCAACACTCTTTGCTATATCTTGTTTAAGCTAAAGCTGAACATATAGCTACATACAGATTTAAACATTGAGTTTTCTGGAGACAGAACATGTGATGGGGTTTAAAAATATCAGCATTTGGATAGAAACATAGAAATTAATTCATAACCACAGTAAAAAAGGAAAACCTAGTGAACAACTGCCCTGTAGAGTTGAATATCTGATTTGGCAAAAGTTGGCATACACAGAAATGATTTGGCATAAGTATCCTTTTTCTATTCTCATATCTACTGCTGAGAATAAGGTGACAGAACAAAAATCTTATTAGAGAAGTTAAGTTCTAAGGAGCCTTAATCAATATTAGAAAATTATAGAATCAAACAATCCCATTTTTCTTTAATCACGGCTAGTATGAAGTGATTTGTAATTACTCAGAGCTAAGCATTCCTTCAGTGCTTTTTTTCCATTCAATCCAGGCTTCAATCATTTTCTTGGTGTATTTTGCTTGTCCCTCTCGGCTCATACTTTGTTTGGATTTTTTTCCATATTCTAATTACATAAATCTTTTTGCTAAAACAAATGAAAAAACTCTAGAAAATTTATCCTGTTCTTGGAACTACAAGATCCCAACATCTAGGGGCTTACTCTTCTTGTTTATAAAGAAAATACATGAAAGAATACATTTCCAATAATGGAAAGAGCTTTTTTGCTCCATTTATTTCTTCTACAAATCAGCATCAGTGACGAGGAGAAAAACAGAGGTGATGTTGGCACCACACAGTAAACACAGTAGAGTGGAGCTCTCATACTCACCAAGTTGACAGGACTGCTGACATTGCTGTTCATCAACGCCACCAACCCATTCACAAGATCACTATAAAAAGGGAAGAACAGATTGAGGCAATTTCCACTTCCCTATAAATAATATCCTTGACTAAAAAAGAGCTGCCTCCTCAGAGCTTCAGTAAAGCAGATCAGGCACCTGAGGAATGCTGAAATCAGATTTACAGTGCATACTTCAGTGTTTTCTTGGCTGTTTGTTTCACAGTCCCTCATGTAAGATATACTGAGCGGGAGGTTAGTTCAAAAGGGCGATTATCTTCGGCATACACTGGCTATAGCTCATCTAAGCATATGAAAGAATATAAAAAAGATCAAGTTACCAAAAAACAATTAATACTTCCTCTTCCCTCCAGTACCCAAGGATATTTAGAGGCTCATTTTCAACACATTTCAAACAGAATAGAGCAAGTCGTAATTCAGAGGCACATGACACCACCACCTGCTCTGCAATTTGTTGTTTGAATTGTCCTCTTGCTTTCAGAAATTCTTAAACCAAGTTTGCTAAAAAACAGTATTTGAGTGTTACTGTCCCCCAGCAAAATAACCCCAAGTTATTTTAAATTATCAGCAACAAACTTTGCAGCTTGCCCCTGGACATACAAATCCAGATCCCTTTCATTATGACTTATAATCAGGAAAGGATTGGCTACTTTGAACTGATGAAGTTTCTGTAATGTCTATCACCACTCTTAGTACTTTCAGCTGAGGGAAAGGACGTTTCCAAGTGAAGAATGGTTAAAACTACCCAGAAGCCTGGCACAGAAGTTCAGCTAGCATGACAGAATGAAAGACTCTGAGGAACAGATTCACTTTTTCATAGTGAAAGTACATTCTGGTCTTGCTTACACTGCAAATATTACCTACAACTATACCCCTCAGCTGGCTCCTTCCCCCAGAAGGAGACAGAGGCAGGCCCGTACAGCACAAGCGCTGACCACCGCAGCCCCAAAGGCACAAGGCGGCAGTGTTGCATTAAAACGCACAGACTGACAAACTGCTCAGACTTAAAGTGGCATTAAAAACTTTCTTAGTGGTTAACTTGCTGTCTCTTGAAGGGAAGAACACGTTAATATTTTAATTCAGAGTTCTAAATAGACTAATGTTTTGCTTTTGGTATTTTAAAAAACTTCACTGTCTCTCTTCTGAAAGTAAAGCTGGCCTAAGGATGAACATCATTTCTTTGACTAAAAAGCATGTGCAGATGAAGCTGGCCAAGCTCAATGAACAACCAAGTGAAGTAAACATCAGACAGCACAAACAAGGCTTACCTGACATACTGGAAAGCTCTCGTCTGAGTTCCAGGTCCGTAGACCTAAAACCAGATAAAAATTAGAAAAGCTAAATATAAAAGTCTTCCTCAGTCCAATTAACTTTTCCTCACTATTCTAGAAAAACGTCCCAAGGAGAAACACCTGAGACACTAGCTCAGTGCTGCAGGAATGGAAAAAGATTCGCTTGGAGAGTGTTTGGCAAAGAATCAGTTCTTTGAAGGTCTTTTTCCTCTTGGATGTATCTCCAGTAAACATACTCTGAAACATTTTGTTAACCAGAACTCTAGAGGAAGGAAACATTCTCAGGGATGTAGGACAGAGCAATGCTTTGTCCTCTCCTGGAACACTGAAAGAGGCTGCAGCATGCACTCAGCCAGAAAAGAGCACCAAATATTTAAAGCAAACCTTAGAATACTAAGATGTGGTTCTGATGAGCAATTTTTATTTGCTCGTTAACAACAGACAGCTTCAAATATAGTGATCTTTAAAAAAATTGTCAAGAAAAATAGCACTGTAAGTGTTTAAAGGAATCAGAAAAAAATTAAATTATCCTATCACTCTCTAAATATTACTATCTGGTATAATGGGAAGAAGAACAATTTCTACAGGCTAGGATTTTGGAGCAAGCAAGTTGTTTAAGTTCAAAACAGATACTAAACCATACCTAAAGTTTACATAATGGTATCAGAGAACATCCATTTTTTTCACAGTTTAATTGTGTGCAGTACTAAAATCCCTATAACATGAATACTTAAATTTTGCAAGTTATCAGCAGGCATAGTTAAGTTGGGAAAACACTGAAGTGGGGACACACACATCTTACCAACAACCTGCTACAATATAAAAGCTTTTTGGAAGGACAGAACAGAAAGCATGCTGGTTTTCCTAGGGGACACGAAAGACAATACAATTGGTATACATAGAATCATAGAATAGTTTGGGTTGGAAGGGACCTTTAAAGGCCATCTAGTCCAACCGCCCTGCAGTGAGCAGGGACATCTTCAACTAGATCAGGTTCCTCAGAGCCCCATCCAACCTGACCTTGAATGTTTCCAGGGATGGGTCTCTGCCCACTGCCTCTCTGGGCAACCTGTTCCAGTGTTTCATCACTTTCATCATAAAAAATTTCTTCCTTAAATCTAGTCTGAATCTTCCCTCTTTTAATTTAAAATCATTAGCCCTGTCCTATTGCAACAGGCCCTACATGCCATCATCTGTCACCGGATAAGCCTGCTGCTCTCTGAGGCAGATTCAGAACCAAAAGAGTTCACATTTCAGTAGGCACTGGGTAAGATCAAAAGTTTAAGAGTTTACCCAATAACTCATTCGGAGAGGAATGCACCAGGAGAGCATGCTGACAGCCTGATGGCCTCTCAAAACAAACAGGAAGACCATTTTATATACGGAAAGAGCTTCCTGCTTGTCTTCTTTTAGCTTGTGGGGTAAGTTTTACATAACTAAGTAATTTGTGCATGATTTCTGCAAAGTCATCCCTGTGGCTACCTTTCGTACTTGCAGACAGTGGCTGGAAAAGATAATGCAGATTCCTCCTCTCAATTTCTCTCAATACCTCCCAACTTCTCTTAATAAATCTTTCCTTTACAACAATACAAAGCAAAAATGGTCATGTCTGCATACACTATACTTTCTTCAAATTAAAGAGGTTGTTTTCTCAGGAGATTATTTACTCCATTTGAACAACTATTTTGAACCAAGAGATTGAACACATTCAGTCTCTAAAAAGGTCAACACTAGGTATTCCTGTCAGCCAAATTCTGTGATGATGCAAGGCTGAAATTTTTTTGGGTCTCAATTACTACTGCTTCTTGCTGATTATTAATTTTATTTCACCTGATCAGCTAAACAACTCTCCCTTTGGTTCTCTCCTCATATCCAGTAATTCTCAGTGTCAGACAGTTACTCCCTACAGAACAGCGATGTTGGACAAAATGTCCTCCATTAATGTTCTTGACAAAGCCTTGACAGCATGGCACTTACAAAAAATAAATAAATAAAAAGCTTTCAATATTCTCTCCCATAGAACAGCACTGACTCAAGACTTCTCCTATTGATGCTGTGAAATATGCCATGGATTGCATGTTCTAAAACAAGCTAACTGTTTCACATTTAGTAAGTCTTCACAAAACTTCCAGTTAGCGTTTTCACTCTGTTCTAGTTATAAAAGATCACAGAATGTTAGGGATTGGAAGGAATCTCAAAGGATCATCTAGTCCAATCCCCCTGCCGGAGCAGGAATCCCCCTGCTGGAGCATCACAAGATCACAAGACTACTTCCAATAATACTTGAGAAATTAAGTATAATTTTAAAAAAAAATGTTTGAAAGGCCAAATACAGCAACAGCTCACTCATTATATGCACTAGGAGAACAAACTTGAAACTTCATGTCCCAGGATGCCATCCTGGGAACAAACAATACTGACAAACCAATATATGATTACATTCATATTTTAATACAAGCATCAAAAGTCTCAAAAAAAGTCTCAAAGCAAGATGCTCCATCTTCTTGACTGCTTCTGTTCGCTTATCGTCTTGCAACAAACAGAACCAGCCTGGGTAAGAAAATGAAACTCTTTCTGCAGGAATTTGAATGTTGTTTGGTTTTGGGGTTTTTTATGTTTTGAAAGGAAAAAAAGTGCTGAACCTATGTGGTTGTGCAGAGACTCCTATCAGTAGAGACAAGGCAATCTGGGCTCACTGGTTTTGTCAGCTACTCAAGACTAAGCGCTGACATCTGCAGTCTTAGTGCTGAATTATACGACACATTAAATATGATATGTCCTAGTAAACACTTGCCATTAAGTCACAGTCAGCATCACACAATTGCTACCGTACTCCGAGCACTGACAGTGCTTTGTAGAAAAAAGCACATCTCTGGGGAAAAAGCAAATCTTTATGAGATGCAGTGAACACGGCATTCAAACCACTACAGGATTGTTACTCTGAAATAACCACAGGCCTAAACCAGAAATTTAGCAATGGTTAGAAACAAAGAGCAGCCAAGATGCATCAATGATGACAATAAAAAATAGTAACAGATTGCCTAAGTTAACGATCACCAATAAATAGCAAGTAAGCAAATGCTGACCTCCAGAGAAGACCAATCTTTCAAAAATTATCAGTGTACTTAAGTCAGTTGATGTCCACTGCTTTGCAGACTATACACAACTTGAACTTTAAAAAAAATTTTTATAAAGAGTTCTAGATTTCACCCAGTCAGTAGGGTAGTGTCTACTATCCAAGTTTTGCAGCGGTAGCCGTGTTTCAGAATATTATTTTAAAAAGATTAAAGATAGAGGAGATCTATCACAGGACACCAAGCTTTATCTCGCATGGGCAGGACTTGTTCCCTGGTTCAGACTCTTCAATGCTTTGTCCAGTTTCAGATTTTGCACTACAAGAACCACAGTAGTGGGAGTTGCCACAAAACTTTCATCCTCTTCCTCCTTGGATTATCTGCTCCTCCCTAGAGGAATTCCTGGCTGAACTCCATTTTACAGTCTCCAATAGAAGGAATGCTGTCTCATTCTCAAGATAGCTGCCCCACGGAGGTACTGAGCAACATTTTTAGTTATTAAGCAGAAGCCTTTGAGTGGTTTCCTGGAACTTCACTCTTGTAATTTAGGCAGTATTATCAAATATTTAGATGAAATTTCTGTTGTATGTCACATAAACTGTAAATGTTTCCATGAGCTCACAACTCATCTCAGATTTCAAACTACTTCTGCCTGTTTCAGGATGTCTCCTCGTTTACTTTACATATCCTCACTGTTTTATAACAGTAAACTAAACAGGATCAGGGCATGGGTCAGACACTGTCTGTATTGCTAAATTACCAGCAGCATCTTTGGCAGAGTACTGGCCTGTGCCAGCTCTTGCTCTCCTAGACAATGCTGTGACATCGCTTAAGCATTATCAAGAGTCAAGGACCATTCACAGCAAACAGTCTGCATGTGGCAACTTGTTTCGGCAGGAAAATTTAGCTGTATAGATGTGGGCCATGACACACCAGTTTGTCAATGCCAAGAAAAAACAGTCCTGGCCTACTTTATTTACTAACAGTGACGTAGCCTGAAGGCCTTTAACGTTATGTTACACAAGGAAAATTCAGGTTGATCTCCAAGCTTGCAAAAAGACATTTAGATGCCTAACTTTCAAACCTGGTTCAGAGGAAATTCGTTGACAGGAAGAAGTACCAAAACATGATTCTGTAAACATTGTCATGCCGTGTTCCCATAGAAGAGTTGTGACAGACAGAGATTCAAGTTCAGGATGAGTAAAACACTTTCTCAGATCGCAACTGGTAGCCTTGTTTCTGTCTGGTAGAGGAACATCAATACCATCAACAGGGCACATCTTTGCATGTATAATTCAATACACTTGAGCTTGACGTACTGAAAGACTTGATTTTTCAGAAGGGGGGAAAGCTCAGTGTTTTCTAAAATCTAGCCTCTTCCATAGCACACGAGGATAGGCTATAAAGATGAATGACTTTCTGCATCACTGAGAGGACATTACTTACTGTTAGCGGTTCTCCCTGGAGAGCTTGTAGAATAAAATTACTGACAACTCTACCATCGTTCATATGCATTCGAGGACCAAACGTATTGAATATTCTGGCAACCCTCACTTCAACTCCTTCCTGTAGGCAAAGAAAAAAGAATTGTTACTGCCTTAATAAGAGTATCTTTCTTCCAAAAAGTGCAAATTAACTCTCCCTTGTCCAAAAGCTTTCTTAAGAATCCCTCTTACAGCTTTAGCAAACATTTTTTTCTCACTATTAAATACTTCTAACCTCTCCTTAATGCTACTGGAAACTGTAGTGCATACATCAAGGTAATTTATACTAGCTCTCAGCATTTGTAATGCAAATTCTAAATCAGTGCTGGAACAGCTAATGATTTCAGTGCACGCATTTTCTTCAAACAAGAACTTTAAGATTTTTCAGTAGTACGCTTCCATCGACCATCACCTAGGATTTATCTACATTTTTTGAACTTAAGTGAAGTCTCATGACCAGATATAGTACCAAGGTAGCACTTCTAAGAAAAGTTGGACACTTCAGGTAAGTATCTTCACCAATGCCATAAAGTAAGTGGCTTTGTAAGCACCGCCACAATGTTTCTTAGCTCCCTGCTACTTATTAGGCTGTGTAAACGCATGCATTACAATCCAGGTCTCTTCAGTGGCTTAGTTTTTCCCAAGAAACATTTATATCATTCCCAGAAGTCCTTTCTGCAGGATATTTTGCAAATCTTCAAAGCAAAATGCAACTATTATGTGAAACTGGAAACTGTCTGGACAAAACATTTTAACACTGGGGCACTGCAGACTGAAGTAATCTCTCTCTCTAAGTATTTTCTGGTTTTTGACACTTACTTATTTGGACAAGCCTCAGTTCATGACAAAGCCTACAAGAAGGATGTTTGGCCTTTGTGAGCTGAAGCATGAACTTGGCTCCTGAAGAGTTCAGAGCAGCGTGGTACGCTGTAAATGGATAGATGCTACCATGTCAGAGTGACAGCCACAAGGCAGAGAGGAAGGTGTCAACTTCAGCCCAGGCCTATGCATCCTCCTCAAACTCCCAGGTCCTTCCCCCGCTTCCAGAAAAAGCCATCCTTGTATCAGTCACAGGCAACACTTTCACCTGAAGCAAACTTTGCGTTGCTAATTCAACTGAAGTCACAACCACAACATTCTGGAGCAGCAAACATTCATTTACTCCTTCAGAGGATACACAGAACATCTTGTATTTTCAATGCCTGTTACTAAAGCTTAGACCAATGCTTGCCGTTTTCTTGGAAGACAAGAGTGTGTGTGGAAGAACAGTATTGTGGTACATCTGAAGCTGAAGGCTGCAGCTTGCACACACTTCACTCAGGAGAGACTTGGAAACACATTTTTCTTGGAAATAAATGTGGCTTCCTGTACAAGAGAAACTTGCAGGAAAATCTGATCTTCTCTCTTCGGTCTCCAAGTGATTCATAAACAAATGAATCCTCAGAGAAGTTTTGTGAAAGCAATAGCATTAGTTTTTTACAGATGAGAGAGAGTGAAAGCGGCAAAAGGCACATTTAACAGTTCAGCTATTACTTGGTGTTGAGAAATGGGAAATACCAAGTAGCACAGGTAAAGCCCAACACTTCCTAGTATGGAGAAGGCCAAACGACGTGCAGTTCCGTTTAACTGCAGGTAAGGCTTCAATTGCAACAATCAAACATTGTTCATATTTGCAACTAAATCGTAAGCTAGCAGTAACCAGGGAGGTAACTATTGTGCCGCAGGAAAAGTGACAGTCTTGGGTCTTTGTCACAGAACAAGCTTGCATCCACAACAGAGCCAAAAAATAACCTCACAATATCCACTCAGCCCTGCTGAGAGACCTTGGAAAGAGCAGAAGTCCCTTCCCATACAAAATGCATCAGTTGGGAACATATTCTTTATTTCCTGTTAGCCAAAAAAGCGCAGCGGTGTAACATGTCAAGCATATACTTCCAGCAGCATATTACAGAGCCATTCCCAATGCCTTCACTATACCTGGAAATACATACTGATAGAGTTTCTCGTTCTTTCATTTTGCCCAGCACACTGTCTTGACAAGGGCACTGACTCCTTCAGGGAGGGACTGTATTTCATGTGGGCTTTCCAGATATTGCCATTAATAACAAGTACAGAAAATGAGGCACTTAGAAGCTAGTACTCAAGATAAAAATAACTCATTAAATAACACTGACCAAAAAGCCTCTCTTGTGCTGCACGAGCTACAGCAGCAGCCTTGTTTTCCAGTATTGGCTGGAAACTAGCAAGAGATCTAGAAAAGAAAAACAACGCATTCTCTACAGGCACTTACTCACAGCCACAGTGAATCCAGTATTTCTTCTCCCTTCTATTTATTCCCCTCCCTCCACTATAATGTCTTCAACAATGAGTAACTTTTTATTTACAGTGTCATCTAGCAAAGCTTTCTTCTACAGCCTACTGCTTTGAAAATCTATTTTCTATGGAGCTGAATTTTCATTTATGCCTGTAAAACTGGGAGGTATCTTCTCAAAAGAAACCCTTCCACGGACAAGGAGATTTTGGAGCCAGTAACTTAAATATTGTCCTAAGTTTCCTTTCGCCATTTCATGAACATCTCCTCTGAAGTGATACTTTTTGCATGTTGAGTAACTCTCTACTCCTTTTTTGTATTAACTGCGTATAAATACTTCTGGTATACTCTTACCTATGTCTTGTCACTCTGAATATCAACAACGACATGTTAATCATGACTGACTACCTCTACCGCATTCCTACTAGCAAAGCCAATTACTTCCCCAGATTTGTGGCAGTAACTCATGTACGATATTTTATACTAGAGAAAGGAGAAAAACTTCTTTGGTTCACACTTGTACTGCTAAACAAAAAAGAGCTAAAGAGTAATCCCCGATGCTGAGACCAAATGTAATCAACTGGTTTCTATCCTCACAGTTTAAGACTACACCTTCCTATAGCAGTTTAATCAGACAGCAAGTTCCTTGAGCAATCAAAAAAAGAGCCCAGGGCAAGTTAAAAAACATGCAGCACTGTGGGCTATTGAAACACTTCAGCTCACTCTATTATTTCCCAGTATGGACACATTCACAGAGACTGAGCGTGTACAGATGGAGAGGGAAGACAGAAAAGACACAAGAAAGATTGCTATGGCTTACAGAGATACCTCCTCTGAATACTCAGACTATTCCACAGTTGTCAGTCAAAAAGCAGCATTAGTTATCCAGTCTCTCCTGCAAAATAAACTTGTCCATGGTCTTCTGCACGAGTCTGTGCCACTTAGTTCTAGAAATCCCTGCTCCAGAAAGTATTGAGGTATCAAGGATGCTATGATAACATCTTAATTCAAAAAGACATATTTTAGTTTTATAAGCCTTTTAAGAAAAGATATCTCCTTATGTTGACTGGCTCAGACAATAGATCAATATAGAATACTCAAATGTCAAGAGGTTCTTTTAACCGAAACAGCTTGAACATATGCAGTAGCTGTAATTTATAAGGATATCAGGCAAGCTTGTCTTACTAATTAACAGTTCTTTGTTCTTTGTAAAGTCTGTGGACCTATCTGAACAACAAGCATGAATTAGATCTTTCTGAATATCAAATCAGGAAAGGGAAAGCTGCAATTGTCTGCTCTCCAGCAGACAACTGGATTCATCAACAAACCAAAAAATCTGCCAGGTAAGGACCAGTTGCATGGATAGCACTGTGACCTGACACAAATCTTTATAAATGTTCTAGCTAAAATTACTAAGACTGCTGCCTGCATCCCTTGCTTTATTAGTCACTTTCATACGGATTCATATTCTTTCCCATGTGTTTTAGAGATCATTGACTAACTCTCAAAATTGTTCCCAAAACCCTGAATTGTAATCACAGCAGAATTACTAGCACAGTGTTCACCAGGATCCATCTGTGACGTGTTTAAATTACAACACTCTACACTAAGGCTTGGTCCAAGGTATTTTATATATATGTACATATATAAAGCAAAAATGAGATTAATTCCTGGTTATTAACAGCTTTCTAAAATTGTTTTGCAAAAATAGTGATGCTGAGATCTGAATTCCATAAACAGTAAAGCTCCTAAGCAAGTTGGAAGGACAATCACAATCGCCTGATTCTACTTTTGGTATAATGCAGGTCCCTGAACACAGCCAAGGCACACCTTCAGCACTCTTATCTTATGGTTGAAATATTAACCACGCCTACAGTTCAACACTTCCAAGACCAGAGAAGCTACAAGATCTCTTTGAGGTCTCTTCATACTTCCCTGCTAAAAGTATGTCCTATTTCTACCACTTGCCTCAGCTTGCATACCTCTTGTAACTACCGTACCTGGCCAACGCAAACAGCCACAGGAGTCTTCCACCAACACTTTGACAAGGAACATTGCCATTGGGAAGTGATTTGTATTGACTTAAGTGCACCTATACCTGAATTACTAGTATATCCCCTTCAGACAGGGATTTTAACTTCGGTATTTTCCTGTACAACATGGCTTCTGAACAGGAGGTGGCAGATTACATAACCAGTGCAATAATACCCAGTGAATGAGAACTGTATCACAGCTTCCAGTAAGGTTCCAATAAGGGTCAGAAACACACGTAAGCAAACAATATATACTCCAAGCAATTTAATTTAAGTCATCTGCATAATGTAGAGTCCTGCAGACTTCTATACATGAATTAGTGTAACATTGACAGTTACAGGTGAAAGAAAATGCCTGACTACTGCTTTTAGAGCAATGGTGGCTGTATGAGGATGCATCTTACTGACAAAGATAAGGGGTGTACCTGGCCTGCATCCGAAGAAGCGTGGTCAGCAGATTGAGGGAGGTGATTCTGTCCTCCTACTCTGCTCTTGTGAGACCCCACCCCAAGTACTGTGTTCAGCTCTGGGGACCTCAACTTAAGAGGGACATGGAGCTGTTGAATTAAGTCCAGAGGAGGGCCACGGAGGTGATCCAAGGGCCGGAGCACCTCTCCTATGAAGACAGGCTGAGAGAGATGGGGCTGTTCGGCCTTGTGGGAAAATAACGGAAATTGGGGAAAATAGAGAAATAAGGCTTTGCAAAGTTCAGCTCAAAGGCTGCAATATTAGAGC